AGAGAACTGAAGAAATACGCAATTACATACTGTCAGAACTGTTAGTACCAAACATGGCAGGAAATACTAAAATGCTTGTATTTAAAGGACTTATATTCTAGTTGGAGACATAGGACATGGAGACAAATACCTATCTAAAGTAGAAAAGAAAGTTCCACAAGAAAGTTAACAACAATGCTTTCTATTGGGTCCAAGGCAGTGGTTCTACTTAAGAACAACTTTTTCTTAAATGTTAATCTGTCAAATCAGTTTTAGTATGTTATGGTCTGAATTGAGTCATCTCCCCCACCCCAATTAATTTAATCCTCAGTGTGAATAAATTTGGATATGGGTCCCTTGGGGTGGCAATTAAGGTTAAATGAGATCATAATGGTGGAACCCGAATTTGTGTGACCATGTCCTTAGAAGAGAAAAAGAGAATAAATGTGTCTACATATCCTTACCTGCCACTTGTTTTATACTATCCTTTCCTGTGAACTCATCCAGAGGAAAGGCCATGTGAGCGCACGGTGGAAAATCACCAGGTCCAAACAGGGAAGAGAGGCTTCACTACAAACTAACCCTGCTGGTACCTTGATCTGGGACTTCCAGCTTCCAGAGCTATTAGAAAACTAATTTCTACTATTTAAACTACCCAATCTGTGACAGAGCTACATTACATGGTGTATTTCTAATTTAAGAATAGACTGACAGAGATGAATCCTGAAATCCTAACACCTACCTTCAAGAGAAATCATTTCATTGTATATACAGACCTTTACTTACACAGTTATAGTTGCAGCCAGGAAGAAATACAATGCTTATCATTCATTMCAATTTACATAATAGAAAGACTCTTGTCTTTGACAAACTCATACTCTAGTCAGAAAGTTAGAATACATCGTATCCATAATATAAATTAGAGAAGAGGTATCAAAAGAGAGTACAGTTAGTTCAGAAGTAAGATTATTTGTCCTTTGGTTGTGGAGAGGGTGTATGTAGGTAAGCATGTGTGGCTAGAGTTGTGATGTGAGAATGATTTAAAAAAAAAAAGCAAAACAACAACAAAAAACACCTTGAGAGAGATGGCATTATTATTATAGCCCATTATTCTCAGTAGTACAACACTGGAATTTGGTGCTGGATGATTTCTTGTTGATGAGGACTATTTATTTAGCACTCTAGCAGCCCCCTCCTGACTTTGTGGTATCTGCATATTACCAAAACAATTCCAAAGGCTACTCAGCAGCAGCATCTCCCCCAAAAGAGAACTGAGGAACACTTATAAAAATGTAAAATTGGAAAAAAGCAGATTGTGGGCTGGGTTTGTGGCTCCGTGGTAGAGCACTTGCCTAGAACATTCGAGGCCCTGGGTTTGATCCTCAGCACCGCATAAAAATAAATAAATTAATTAAAGGTATTGTGTCCAACTACAACCAAAAAATAAATATTAAAAAAAACCCAGCAGATTGTTCACTATTAAGTGACTGATTAAAGACCTAACAGGTATGATTCTAAAATGCTATATACAGAAAATTAAAATTTGCACATGCAAATTATAATAATATTTTCAACACTGCTTTCCTATTTTAAGTGTTCATTATATTTATTCAGTTCTCATTTTCATTTTGAAGCTTTTTATTTCCTTGCTTCATTGATACAGCTCATTGAGTATATTTGATTTCTAAATACCTTTACTTACTTATTACTCCTACATGGGTAGTCTCTGAAGCTATCAACAAACACTCTACTTAAGACAAAAAAAAAAAAAAAAAAAAGCAAAGGCATCTTCTTCCTGACTTCCAGGCATCTCAACAGATCTTTTACTTTATAGACTCCCTTAAATTATATGATTGTGATCTGGGCTGAAGGTTTAGGAGAAGGGATAAGAAGTGGCAAAGAGGGGCTGGAGTTATGGCTCAGCACAGAGTGCTTGCCTCACACATGCAAGGCCTTGGGTTCAATCCTCAGCACCACATAAAGATAAATACATAAAGGTATTGTGCCCAACTGCAACTACCAAAWAAATAAATAAATAAATGAAGAAGTTGCAAGGATACTGGAAATGATGAGATGAATAAAAAAGAATCAATGCAACTGAGGACCAAATTGGGATTCAAAGGATTATGATTCTCTTGCAGAAAAGGGTCTTCAAAGATCAGACTTCACAGCAGAGTTTAGCATGGAGGGTGTTCATTAAGAAGTGCCTCTAGGATTAGGATCTGTGAAGGGGGCCCAGTAGCAGAAATGGGCAGAAGTTGAGCTACCACTGAGAACTTAGGACAGCTTCAGCTGACCCTATAGCACCTCTGGAGCTAGAGGAGTCCTCCCAAGTTGTCGCTAAATAGGGTGAAATGGCAAGGCTCTTCACCTTTCCTTCCTAGCACCTAAGATCAATGAGCTCACTGAACATGGACAGCTGAGGCGATGGTGAAGGGGCTACAGGAAGGCTGCCTGCGTGGTCCACTCAAGTTATGTTATCAGTGGGCACAGTGTCCACTGCAGATTATAACTTCATATTTTATAAAGAAATGGAAACTCAGGAGCGGAAAGTAATCAAACAGTCACAAATTTGAATTTTATACCCTCAATTATTTATCATTTCCTGTTTCTCACTATTCTAACAACAACATCAAAAAGCCTATTTTGGAAGAATGATCAGGAACTATTTCTTAGCTTAAGGAATTTCCTTCAATAGCAGAAACAAAAGGAATCAGTCCAAATAATTCTTGCTAGGTTTTTATAGAGAGGACTAAAATGTCAAATTCAATACTAAATTATGAAGAGTACATGAAATATCAAAATTTCAGATGTCCAGGTTTCATTTTTGTGTGGCTTTATACATGCTTACAGGACACTGTGTTTCTGTACCCTACTAAGGTTACAAACATATAGTACCTTTATGCCTTCTCTTTTTAGGTCTTCACTGGATCTCAATAAGACTATCAGAAATCAGAAATCAGGGTTGGCACTAACTAGGTGTGCACTTCATTCAGCAAACTGACAAACCTCCTTGACTCTTCATTTTTCTAATTCTACTTGAAAGTAGTGAGAAATGACAGGATAATTTCCCACTTGAAATGCTGTGATAGTAATGGAAATACGTTATTTGCCCATATTCTTAAGAACTATGGTTTTATGTCATGCTTCCGTCCTGAATGTTTCAGCTACACTGACTTTCTGATCTGAGTACTTGCCACAGTACTTTCCACACTGTTTCCTCAGYCTGGAACACCGTCCTCAAAAATCATCATTCAGCTGGCTTCTCCTCTCCAAAGAGTCATCTCCTCCGATCTCCACATAATCTAAAGTAATCCTGCCCTGCCTAAGACAAATTTCTCGTTAGCCTGTTTTATTACCTTGCTAACAAAATTGCCTCTGATCATCTTGTTTTTATATTTAACTGTTATTCACTACTGTATCTGTAGTATATAGACTAGTGTCTAGCACGTAAGTATGTAGTAATTACTTGGAAGAATGAACACAGACAATAAATGAATATCTATGATTCATGATTTTAAATACATATCAGAATGATAATAACTAGGGGGAAACCATATCATTTTGTGTTTTTTGAATAATACTGAATATTAGATGAAACTCCTATTTTGTATCCCAATATCATAACTTCTATTCAACAAGCTCTGAGATGTTTATATATGTGAGCCTTCCTAAATGGCATATAATGTACAAAATAAGTGTTTCTGTTTCTACAATTTTTTTTTTGAGGTGACAAAAAAGACACATTCCATCTTCTGACTGGTAAAACACTGTAAGAAAAAAAATGTTCAAAATTCTTAAAGAGTAACTTCCCAACTTTATATTTAAGAAAAGCTTAGGACAAAATCTGTATAAGAGAGACAAACAAAAATAATTCATAAATTAGGCCATTAGACTTACAATAACATTTTTGTAAGAGGCTTTTATAATTTTTGGCTAGCTTTAAAGCTAGGAATATAAGATGTCCCAAAAGATCCATTGAGCTCAGGAATGTAACTTCTGACAGGGTCAAATGGAATGTCCTTTGTGATCCTGGCTGAAAATTTATCCTTCTACTCAAATATGAATCATTTCATTAATCTAAGTCTGTTCTTGTGATGATACATTAAAAATTTTAATTATACATGGTATTAAATTCTTATTTTCAATAGCCCCTATTTTGAGTTACATAATTCTATGTATGCTCTCTTGTCTGTATTAGGAAAAAAAAATTTTTTTTATTTACCTAAAACTCTTTTTAGTAGTTCTTTCTATCAATTCTGTAGTTATTTTAGAAATTTGGTTCTTGGTAGAAAATCCCATGTTAACTCTCTCAAATTATTTATTTTTATGTGCCTTTAATTCAATCTTCTTTCAAACATTATTTTTTGAGATAAGAATTATTAGGTATAGGAAGGCCTAGTCTAAGAAAGTAGATTTTCTTACAGAGGCCAGAGACAGAGTAATAACTGGAAGTGATGTCAGGATCATAAAAGCCCAATTGGGCAAAACTGCTTGGTGTCTAAAGAAGAACTGATGCAATAAAGTAAGACGTCTTATATCTGGATGTATAGTGGAAATGAGCAACAATAAATTCTAGAATTACTTTTTAAATACATTTACCAGGTGAAGTTTTAAATAGTAACCAATCACTAACTAAAGTTAATGTTAGTTTTTCTGTGTTATTAGGCAATTATTCTACTAGGGTGACATTCAAGTGTAGATATCCTGGAAAAATATAAATGGATCCTTGAATGCAGGCAAGAAGTTTCAGTAATCATTCACAAAGAATAATTTTATGTCATATCACAGTTTAAGTGATCATATATGTTATTCACGTATGATGTTATGTTAAATAATGTAACAATTCAGGAGAAAAGAAAAATGGGCTTTTGCCATGTTTTACATTTAGTAATGTCACAAAATTAAAAACATTTTCCAAAAGAAATATCAAGGTAATTAGTGATTTTACCCCTGTGATATTGTAACAGGTCCTGAACAGCAAGGTTACTAGCCTCAAGGAAACAGAACAAGTACAAAGCTAAGTTAAAGGCAACTTTATTACAATAATTTTCCAAACTTCAAACGCATTTATTACTGCATTTAGATCTACTATATAATACATTATATTACAAGGCAGAAAGCATTTCTCATATTTTTAGCTTCCATGTACTGCCCAAAACATTGCTTCCTAAGGATAGCAGCAACACACAATAGTTTACAACACTAAGTAAAATATTTCTCTGAAATCTCAGAATCGTTCATATTACAATGTGTTTTATTATTTTCCTCTGATTTAAAAGTGAAGCAAACTATCTTTCTATGTTTTATAGTTAATACCTAGAAATTTCCTATACCATAAAAATACCCACCAGCTTACATATATTTTCTTGGTAGAAAACAGGATTTTGAATCTAACCAACCCAAAAGAACACTGTATTTTCCAATTGCAAACAGGAGTAGAATCTTCTTTCCAACAACCCCCCTGAAGAGTGCCTGTTTTAAAAAATACCTAAATCTACAATGGACTCTTATCTAACAAAGTTCTCTCTGTTTAATCTTTCCTCCTCCTATTTGTGTACTTAGAATAATGTACAATCAACTTTGACCATTCCATAATAATGAACTTAAAAGTAATCTCAGGAAAAGTAATCACATTTTAAAGGAAGTATTTTTCAAATTAGACAAGGACATTATTTGTTCATATGCCTCTGCTTCAACTAACCAAACAAACCCAACTTATGAAAATAATTCTTTTTTCAAGGTTTCTACCATAGTAACAATAGAAATAGATGTAAATCCTCTGATTAGATCTAGTGCCTTCATTATTTTCTTTGGTTTTACATTTGTGAGCTACCACCTAGCACAAAACATGTTCATCTTCCTTATTTTCATGACAACAGGAAATTGTTAGAAAAGTATAGAAAAGTTTCTATTTTTTTCATCAGACAAATTTAATACAGATTTTGCTATCAAGTTGAAAAAGAAAAAGTGAATGGAAAGGTATGTGCTGACTGCTTGGGGGGCAAGGCTCATAAATCACTGTACGTTAAGAGCACGTGCTGAAACTTCATGGTGCCAGTCACGTAATTTTGTGTATTTGGGACTAAAGACGTGAAGGGGTATCTTTTCCCTGTGGAAATAAGAGAGAAAAAAAAAAAAGAGTGATAGAAGAGTCATAAAAAAGAGAGAGGAAAAGATTCTACACTAATTCGATCATGCAGAAAACATGCCTTATAAAAGCTTACACATAGCTTTTTGTTAAATAGCAAAGATTTTAAAGGTAGAGCAGTTTTAGAAATACAGAAATTAATCTACAGAGCCCTCCTGGAAACATCAATTTTTATGCCCAAAATAAAGTGACTGCAAGACAACACATGAACTCATTCAGAGAGATATACTCTGTTAGCAAAGCATTCCCAATTACACTGTTTGGCCCACCTCTTACTTCAGTACTAAAGAGAATATGCCTCAGCCAAGATCCAGACAATATTTACTACTTTAAAAAGCTGTTAAGTTGTACATTTAGGTCACACTAAAGGCACCACAGTTAAATGCTTAGCTTCTATTTGCAAAGACAAAATGCCATATCATTCATTACATTTGAAAATTTGAAAAACCAAATTGAGACCATTCATGAAAGAAAAGCATTCAACTTACAAAAAGATAAAGAAACTTACTTTGCCTTCTTTGCATTATCAGCTTCAGATTCTTTCACTGAAATATGAAAATATTCAGTATTACTTTGTCTTTTTTAACTTCAAAATCTCTTAAGCAATTATCTGTGTCAATATCAAACACTCAAGTTTCACAGAGCCACTAAGAAAAATTCTATACCATGTTCTATTGGTTGTAACTATTCAATACTCCTTCTCTTCTCTATGTAACTCTCCTAGACTGACATCTCATTTGCAGTACCCATATTATGCATAACTAATTTAAAAGTACAGTGTCCTACGGTTGTTTTCCAGTAACTGCCAAATTAGTCTAAGTACTATTCTCTGGGGCAAAGAATATCATCCATTAGGATCCCTAGAAGATCACTTACTATGTTCAGTCCCAGTGATCTGGGCAAGGATTCGGAAAGAGCGAGACTGAGTTGTTCCAGTCCTTGGGCGCCAGTCTTCAGTATCCTCAATCAGTCTCTTCTTGCTGGCATCACTATGAGTGGGTATGTGATAAAACTCTGTATTACGCTCCACAATGTGTTTTCTTGGTGGCCTAGGGAAAAGATTTTTTAAAAAATTATGTAAATATTTAATCCTCAATATTCCTTTTATATAGCTTGCTTATGCAAGTACTGTCCCAGTCTCAATTTTTTTTTAAAAAGTACCTTTCTAAAATAGGCTTAGCTTTTCTTTAATCAGTTAAAAACAATGTACTTAAAAAGTTCATATAAACTAACACTATAAAAACATATTCAACAGAAACATTACCGTTTAGGTGGGGTTTTCCTTTAATTGACAGAAGAAGGCAGCAGAAGAAAGATTTCCAACATGAAGAAAAGGAAAGGAAAATAATAAGGAAAAAAGGAAACTAGAAAATGAAAAGTCTAAAGTAGTCAAAAGCAAACAACTGAAAATTACTTCTATCATTCATCATATGCCACATAAGACAAAGATATGAACTATGATTTAACCACAGTTTAATATCAATATGCTGTAGAATGTGTTGGGAGTTACCAAAATTAGATCACCTCTTCACTAAGCCTAGGAACCAAGACTGGTTTAGTACAGGCTAAATCAGTAATTTCAAACATAATTTTGAAAAGGGTCAGAATTGATTTTCTTCATTTATTTATATAGATCTCTTTATCCTGAATAAAACTACTGGGCAGGATCAGTATACTGATGATGATTGTGCAATATTAGAAACCACTGAGATATTTATGAAAAGAAAAGGATTGAAAGTGTAGCTCTATCACTTTTTGGTGTATGATTTTAGACAAATCAGTTTCACTGAGTATCTGTTTTCCACTGATAAAGCAAGAATATTACATTGTTCTGAGGATTCAAGGTAATAATTTATATCGAAGAGAGGTATAAACTATAGAGTTTGAGAACTCCAGCTTTGCTAAGAACATTCAGTTTTCTATTAGCATAGCATAAAGACTAAAGAATTTACAATGTATATTATTTTAATTCTTTAAGCTCTACTGAACATAATAAACACTCCTTGTTTCTCTTTCCTCAAAATAGGACAAATGCAAACAGTTGGAGTTATGAATTTAAAATTTAAAATTTCACAAGAGAAAAAGTAACACGAGTCTTGCTTAGCAGACTATTGGCCAAAGGTCTATGTAGAAAAAGTGCTCTCAATGTGGTCAGGTGTGGGTGGCAGGATCTGCCAGGTTTAACTCACTGCTGAAACATCACAGTGTGATCATCACAGTGTGTCATGTAAATGCTATCATTTTATAACAGTAACACTATCAAAACTGCCCAGGTACACTGGAGTCTTTTCCCCACAAAGAACATGATAGAATTAAAGTCAGTAACATTGGCTTTAGAATCAGATCAAGTTGCAACACTAAATCCTCCACTCAGTGTGTTTCTTACAAGTTAGTTCACTTCTCTGAGTCTCTGTTTTCTATGTGAGACTTGTGAATTAAATCTTTAAAGGTTATTCTGAGGAATAAATAAGATTCAAAATGTACATAAAGTGCTCTCTACAGTTTCTAGCCCCCAATAATGATCATCATCACATATTATTTTATGATGATCAGAAAAAACAATCACAACATGTCTTCTAAAATGATGGATCATCGGCATATAAAAAGAACAGAATCAAAAACATTCATGCGCTAAATGGAAAGAGATATTATAATTATAATTTCATAATCCCTGCAGTAAAATATTTAAAAGATCTTTACTAGTACTCAACAAAATCTAGTCCTTTTTAAAATAGACAAAATTTTTAGAAACTAGGAAATAGAGATTATTCCATAAACACATTTTTGGGGGCACATATAAAATAGCTCTTATGTAAGTACTTGAAAAATTTACATTCAGCTTCTAAATATTATAGTTTTAAACTGCTCTACAATTAGTGAATGTAGTTTACTCCCAAATATTGCCAATTTCAAGTATAAGACTTTTTTTTATCTTTTGAAAAAGGTTTTGTCTATAAAAATACAAAACAAATGTTGTCATGCTAAGACACTAAAATACTAAAATGCCACAATTGAAGTAGTATTTAGCTACAGCATACTTGCAAAAAGTAGAATTTATCTTAGACTTTGTTGTTAACCATGGCTAAAGTCTCATATTGGTGATATGAATTTTCTAAACATTTACTTAGCATTTTCTGGTTCTGAGACTCTAACTCTGATGACTATGATTAAGAAAAACAATAATTTTAATGATTTTATTTTAAAATATTTTGAGATACAATATAAACTTAACTCTCAATAGCAAGTAATTCATTTCAAAATATGGACTTTCAAAATTAGCAAGTTCATTCATTTTTTTTTTAAATCCAAACTATATTTCTAACTTCAGTGTACACTGTCCAGAACATTTGCCCATCCCCCTGAACATAGTTAGCTTATAAGTTTTTCCACTGCTAAAGGGTAGATGTTCCAAACACACCCAATGATTCATAAGAAGTTCTCTGAGGGGCTGGGGCTATAGCTCAGTGGTAGAGTGCCAGTCTCATATATGTGAGGCATTGGGTTCGATCCTCAGCACCACATAAAAATAAATAAATATATTGTGTCCACCTACAATTAAAAAAAATTTTAAAGAAAGAAGTTCTCTGTCATGAAAACCATGATTCTTATGCTCCTTAACATTTTTGAGACTTCTTGTAATGAAATTATATTAATAAGATTTGCTGGTGGTGTTAAGTTGAGAGCAAGATGAAAAGTTACAGACACACAATGATGAAATGAACCATAAGTACTTACACAGTGCCAGGATTACTGAAGGAGGAATAATACACATAATAAAGACGTGATAAAGATGAGATGGATATTCCGAGGATGATGGAACACAAGCAGAGATGAAGAAAAAGGAATAGTAAGAGAAAAAAATGAAATAGCAAAATTCAAAGCAATGAATTTAAGAGAAGATGTTATATAATACCATGCATCAAAATAATCATGCAAATGTAGACAAAAATGCAAAAGTGTTAGTCAAAATTCTGTCCTATTATTATTACTAGGATAACAGTTCTATGTTTTTTATCCCCTAAAAACTGAAAATCATTGCATGTACTAATGCTAGTTCAAGTCTCCATGTTACTAAATACCAAGAAAGATCCACTACAAAAAAATCCAGATTTTTATAAAATTCACTTTAATATGAGTTCAAATTATTAATAGTATTCCTAACAAAAGGCAGAGAATAAAATAGTTTGATAAAACATGAAGAAATAGTTCTGCTTACAATCACTTTTAAAATCAACAAAGAGAAAAATGTTTCAGTCTCATATCAGAGAAGTATAATATTAACCACCAGTGTAATCTCTTTATATACATTATCCCTATCATACACTGCCAGAGAATGTTACACTACTGGAAAACATTTTTTTTCTTAAATGTAAAATGTCTGATGAAGATGTAGGATCATGAATAATGGGCTCTCTCTCTCTCAATTTTCATACTTTTCCCTGTCTCTCAGTCTCACCTCCCTCAATCATGAATAAGTCCTAGTAACTTCAGAATTGGTGTGGGAACTCCACAGCTTTGGATTATCAGTGACATAATTACTTCCCAGAAAAGTATATCTGATTTGATATGCTAAAGGAAATGGGTTAATAATACCTGAATAGAGAGAAGGTCAAAACAATTCATTCACATAGCCTATTAAGGGTAGAATTGTTAAAAACAAATATATTCACATTCCATTATGGATAGAAAACAAAATATAAACTTTGTATTATTTATCAAAGAACACCTTGTAGTGTCCTTGGATCCTCCAATTATGTTTAGTCAGAATAAATAAAAATTCATAGTGAGAAAAACTGACTGTCAGCTTTAGTGTTAAAAAGGTCTGTGTGGCTATAATTCCACTTTAAATTAAGTTGATAAACTCAACACACAGGGTTAGGTTCCACTCAATGAGGGTGGGACACAGAAGTAAGTTGATCTCAATAGTTTGCCTGTCTATATTCTTTGCCAGTCATAGTGTAAAACATTCTCTTCTCTTTTTTGCTATTTTAAATAACAAAAAAATAGTTTTGCAAAATAATCTCTCTGAACTGATACCAATTTTAGACATATATATATTTAAGTATTTTAAAGCTGAAGAAAAATGTTTTATCTCAACATGAAGTTGCAGGCAGATATTAGATATCTCATATTTCCAATTTTACTTTATAAGATATCTCATATTTCTAATTTTACTTTATAATATGGATTAAGAATTTCAATACATGCTCAGAATAATCATAACTTGATTAGTGCAAACTTTAGTGGTAAAGAACATCAAATGGAGGGTTGATTGATCTTAATCCAAAGATGCCAATTTTAATGTCAAACAAGTATTTCCATATTGTTAAGAAAAAATGTACTCAAATGGAATAGTGCAGAGAAGTGGCAAACTTATCACCAAAGCAGCCAGTTAACTTGGCCTTAGTTGTGTTGCCCACTTCACCTTGCTCTAGGAAAATTGTAATCTAAAGAAACCTGTGTTCCTCAATTATGAAATGAACTACAATTTTTCTGTCCTTTTTTTTTTTTTTTTTGGTGGTATCAGAGATTAAACCCAGGGGTACTTATCTACTGAGCTACATCCCCAACCCTTATTTTTAAATTTTGAGACAGGGTCTCGTAAATTGCGCTGCTGGGATTATAGGCATATGCCACCACACTGGGCCTCCTTCGGACTTTTTGTAAGGGGATTCATTTTTTTAAATATTTGTAGTTGCAAATGGACACAATATTTTTATTTTTTATTTATTTTATGTGGTGCTGAGGATCGAACCCAGTGCCTCACACATGCTAGGGAAGCGCTCTGTCACTGAGCTATCATCCCAGCCCCAAGAGGACTCATTTTTAACATATTTGAAGGCACTTTGAAAACTATGTAGACACTGATTTGTTGTTGGGATAGATGCCTTTATTACTCAAAAACAAAACAAAACAAAACAAAACAAAAACAAAAAATATCAATTCACTTATAAGCTTTTGATTCAACTCCATAGTCATTATAAAAACAAATACTAACTCAAACTAACAAAAAAAGCAAGTCAAAAGCAGGTGATACACTGGAAGGCACATCAAAATTTGGCTTTAAATGACCTAAGCTCAAATCTCAGCTAATCACTTACAAGACACATGACTTGAGAAAATTATGTGCTCTCTTGACATTCAGTTCTCATGAGAATTAGATCATATAATATATTCAGAGACACACAGCACAATGCATAGAATACCTAATACACAATGCATAGTAATACCTAACAAATTAATGACTCTGAATCTTGAATTTTTAAAAATTATATTTAATCTGTAAGTTTAAATTTATTTTTTTCCAGTTTCATTGTCCCCCCTTTCCAAATCAAATTTTTTGTTATACTGGAACCCAGGAACCAGCAAAAGTTGTTGTTTATAAGAAGTTAACTTTTAAAAGACAATAAATCAGGGTTTGATAATTTTTATTATACACTGGTGTGTGACATTCCTATACATAAATAACATAAAACTATACAATCAATGAGACCATAGCTGTTTAGAAAGGAGTTCTCTAATAACTCAAGTTAATTCTCTTGGGTATGTCTAAGTTAGATATCTCATATTTTCAATTTTACTTTATAATATGGATTAAGAATTTCAACACATGCTCAGAATAATCATAACTTGATTAGTGCAAAATTATTTTAAGTTCTTATATAATGTGATTTTTCCTTAGCTTTAAAGCTAGCTAACTACTAACCAGTTTTATGTCAAAAACAAGGTTTGAAGTTATACCATAGTGATTCCCAATGCCTATGCTCTTAGTGACATTCATTAAACCTGGCAATTATCTCTCTTAACTGATTTCAATAGTGTATTGGCTGTCTATCATTCACACATATAACTGCACATAAAAATATCAATATCTTCTAGAAACATTTACTCAATTAAAACTCCAAGAAAAAAAAACACTAAAAAATTTCTTGGAGAACTTAATCTAGGAAACACTAACTTTTAATATTAATTCAGTTTTACATATGCTGTTTACTAGTGATACAAATATTTATGCTTTTTCTTCTATCTTTATCTTCTAACAGTTTTGATTGATATAAATTACATTCCCCCAACCACTGCCTCTTTTCAACCTTTCCACAGCAAACTCCACATATATTTAATAACATAACTTAAACACTACTATTTATTACTATAAAGCAATTTACCACAACATAACAATGCAAACCAAACTTATTCAAAACACTATGTGGTTATTTTAAATTATAGCACTTTTGCAAAATTTAACTTAATTTTGCAAAAATATAATTTAATTTTGCAAAAATTGGGCATTCATGCTGTTTACTCATATATAAATCACCATATTTCCTCTCCAGTAATGTGGATACTAACTTTGTCACGTGTGTTTTCTGCAAAAATAAAAGCATTTTAAAATATTACAACTACATAATTATTTTTTGTATATTCCAAGGCCAGGTTCTTCAAAACACCATATAAAAACTGTTAGAAGAAACTGCAGTCCAACCACATTGAAATTAATATAGGATACCAGAGAGACTTACCTTCAGAAAGCAGTGGCACATTATAATGCAAGGACAAATGAAAAGGGAAATTAGTTAATTACTTGACAAAAAACAGCTTTCCTTTTGCTCTGGAAAATAAAAAGTCCCATTCTGCTCTTCAGAGTAAGCAGAGTAGTAGAGAAAACAGAATGCCATGACCAATAATGTGTACATGTAGAAGAAAGATTTAAACTTTTTGAAGTGCCTTAATCATTATTACTTGTAAGAAGGAATAGGAGTGATTATCTAGTATTATTAAGAAATATTCTATAAATAGCAATATAATTTCTAGATTTCATAATATTAGGATGATTAGCTAATTAATTCTTAGTAATGATGCTTAATTGAAACACTCTTTTTTGTGTCTAATGTTTATCAATCATACATATTTGGGAGGCAAACTAGATAGCCACTTTAAATCATTTTCAAAAACTCAGTCTTCGTGATGCCTTAAAGAAAAAGATAACCCAGGCATTTAACTCTATATCCTTCTGAATTTTTAACTATTTGGTCATGGGATGGATGATTTCTAAAATAAGAAATAATTAATAAAAAGCAACAACTCTCAATATTATAAGAATTTTATTCTGCCAACATAATAAACATCTGGGAAATAGAAGAGTAAAAACTTAAGTATAAAAAGTACACTTAAGTATAAAAAGTACTTGACAATATCCCCAAAATCTACTCTCCAAGATGACAAATCAATGACTAATAAAGAATGTGATTTACTTTTTATTTCTCTAAACATAGTGAGAGAAGGAGCATTACAGATTTGTCTTTGAATTTCACAGATAACACACTTTTGTTTTCAGAATAATCAAGTTTTCCTTGTCCTAACATCTGGACAACATTTGAGATCAAGTTATTTTTAAACACATCCAGTTTGCAAAGGCAAAGCAGTAATTTGCTTGTTAATGATGCAAAACACGTAATAATCCCTTTTCTCCTAAATTTTGCACAGTGCTGAACGCCAGGCATGTGCTTAACGAACACCTGTTGAATGACTGAGAAGCTACCATAAGGCCCTGAAACTACATCACTTCCTTGTTTCAGCTCAAAAATAATGTTTTAAATCATTTCAAATTTAACCATCAGAGTTGTGTTAATTTATTAAGCACAAAATTTAAACTTGTTTTAAATCCAATCTATAACCTCAATCTGCTTTTTACTTCTACAATTTTCTATTAAGAAGACTTTCTAATACATTTCAAGATGTGTTAGGAGAAAAGACTTTTGACTTTAGTGAGCTTCTTTCCTATTGAATCTGGAATTTAATAAACAATAAACTTCTGTTTTAGTTTCTTTGTGGGGCTAGTATTTAACAGGCAGCATCTTTTCAGGTTATCTACTCTGATTATTCCAAAATTTGTTATCTTAAAATAGACAGAAAAAAAAAGTTTACAACCAAACACACCTCAACCCCATGTACTGTTCCTCTTCTTCACAGGAAAGAAGAAATGACATTCTTTGAAAGACACTAGTTTTTCTCAACATACAGTTTACTGAAATGTAATTTTGTAACTATGGGTTCAAATGAGTTAGTAACTTAGACCATTTTTAAGTGTACACCCAAAAAGGAAAAATGAGGACTGAATTTTCAAAATCTTCTGCTAAACATTTCATATTTAATGTCCATGGGTTTAAATTCATTTATTTTACAAAAATCTTTATAATGCCTCTGATGCAACCTAAAAGGCCCCCTCTTATTTTTCATTACTGTTTGCTTTTAAAGAAGAAATCAAAACTTTTGAGCCACTCACAACCAGAAAGCCATCTGTACAGCCCAGTAGCTGTTCCTGCAGAGCTCCTGCGCTCTCAGCAGCAACCTGGAACCCTGCCATTTTCTCTTTCAAGTTCCCAAGTTACCATGGCAGCAGTGCTGCAGAAAGCATTGCTTCTTCATTATGTGAATTAACATTCTCGGAAGGGATTATATCTAACAGAAAGGATCTATCCGCACAATCATTTTAATTATATTTTCCTGGGAACTGACATGGGAGAAAACCATCATGTGTACAAATTATTTTCCTTTTAATGTACATTTTTGTCAAATAAATAAAAATCAAAATGATTTTGTGTAAATGGCTTTGCTTTAAGGTGCCTTCATTGAATCCCTAAATAAATGAAATGATATAAATTACGGTTGCTGAAATTACAACTGTGGGGCTCAAATGAGTCAATAAGTTTTCAAGGAAAAATTATAAGGAAATAACAAATTTTCAAAAACTTCTGCTAACATTATATATCTAGTTTCCACTAAATTTTTCATTCATTTTTTAAAAAATGTATAAAATGCTTTGGACACTATATAAACATTCCTTGTTGTTCTGTCCCTACGATTTGCTTTTAAAGAGTATTGGTCCATGCATTCCTTCATATAGACATGTGTCAAAAACTGATTTGTTTTCTATTTTCTACACTACTTCGTGGGAGATAGGGCTTTTTAAAAACTCCTCATTTCCCCTTCCTATAGGGTGACATACGTAAGCTGAGAACAATTATAATCATACTGTTTAAGCTTTTGGTGAGCAATAAAAGGATGGAAAATTTGAGGAAAAAAGATTCAAGATTTGCCTTGCATTATAAGTGCCAGCTGCGCAATGTTGTGCCAGGAGGTGGAGGAAAAGTCACACAGCATGTTACACAGTTCATAACACATTAAAATGTAGAATTGGGTTTTGATTAACCCATAATTGCTTGGCGGACAATGCTGTATATATGTAATATAAGGCCACATGTTAATGAAGCAAACATAACTCCACCTTCCTTAAAGTAACAGCTGAATGTGGGGAAGATAGATTAAGAGTTTCTTGGAGATTACCTAAAAGAAGAATTCTGATAAGAACAGAAAGCCCCTTTAGTCACCTACCCATTTTGTTGCTTAATGTCACCCTGGGATCCTCTTCTCTGTCCCTCTGCTAGCTCGTGAGCAGTCTCGGAACACACGCTGGTGACTGTGGGCTGCCGTGGGACATTAACTGCAGTTTTACCAGTGCTCAGTGCAGATGAACACTGGTCAGCACTAAGATTGGCATTAACATGCAGTCCAGATGCAGAGAATGGGGGAGGAGTGACAGCAGTCACAGGTGGAGGGGAAGCATGTGATGAAGTGGTTGCATGAGCTGGGGTGAAGGCAGACGATGGTGATGGGATGGATGTGACTTTTGGTGAAGACACAGAACCAAAGGGCCGTGGTGCCTTATTGTAGGCCATGTTGGTTGTGGAAGTGACTTTGGACACAGCAGGAGATGTAATGGGCACAGGTTTAACTACTTCTTTAGGTTCTCCCTATGTGAAATAAAAATAAACATACACAAAACACGCCAATACATGCAAACATAATCACTGAAAAGAATGCACAGCTGATTTTTAAAAAGACAAACACAATTATGTTAGAAGCTCAAATATCACACATTTCCAGTAAAAACAATGATTTGATATAGCGTAACATGCACACTAACTGGTCCCAGCATGCATATCATGGAGTTGTATACTAAGCATATTTTTATTTATAAAAATAAAAGGAATTCCAAAATATTTAGTAAATAGCAGGGAAACCATCAAGAAGCATCAAGGCCATCTAAGTATCAATTAGCTACATTACAAAGGAGAAGTTTTTAAATACCCCATAATAAACAAAACATTGCTAACTGAAATGTTTTTAAAATAACCAGAGCTTCAATTATAATTCCATCTTTCAAACATGTTTAATTTCTTTCTACAGTACGATTACTTGATTCATTCGGAAGCAGCACATTTCAAACTCTCCCATTTAAAAATGAAGGATGAAATAATTTTCATCTAACTCAGAAACATATACATTCTAATTATCTTAAATAAAGAATTTTTTAAAAACTTAAACAGATGAACAAACCTAAGTCTTTTCTCATATAATCCACGTGTTCTCTCTCTCTGAATGTTTTAAGATATGATTCAGAGATAGAATTCTTTCCCTTTTCCAAAATAAATATTTAATAGTTTCAAGAGGAAAAAATTATCTTAGATATTTCCTCATTACCATCAGTCAAAGAAAAAAAATAACTCATAAGAAAGATCAATTCTTGGGGTTGGGGCTATAGCTCAGTGGTGGAGCGCTTGCCTTACAAGTGTGAGGCACTGGGTTCGATCCTCAGCACCACATAAAAATAAATAAAGATATTGTGTCCATCTACAACTAAAAAATATTTTAAAAAAAGAAAGATCAATTCTTCCTAAGATTAACAGAATTTATCAATCTTTATCCCAAAGCATATTTACTAATGTTCTTTAAAAATCAAATTAAGCCTATATAATATTCAAAAATAAATCTCTATTTACCATCTCAAAAGAAAAATTTTAAGAAAACATACAATGATAACTCTAATATGTTTAATTTTAAGAAAAAATAATCTAAATGAATCTTAACAAGAAAGCTAATTGAGAAAAATAAGTAGCTTAAGGCCTAAGTAAATCAATGTAATAAGTAATTCAATAAAAAGAAAAAAAAGAGAGAGAGAAACTTAAAAAAATATAAATCAAATGTAGATGAATAATGGTTTGGGACAATTTGAGAATGTATTTCAGAAAAAAGGGTACTTTCCAATAACCTAATCGAAGAATATTCTGAAATGTAATTTTTGGTTGTTATTAATGATTTATTATGATACACATTTTGAGTAATCACTTATTTTTCTTAGCAAACAAATGAATAAAGATGGAAAATTTTAAATTAAATATAAAAGAAGAAATTTGGATATAAATTATTAATAACATTGGCCTTAGAAATAACGTTTTAAAATAAAGGTACAATTACACATGATAATTCTGCGTGTGTTGATTTCCATTTTCCCCTTCTTCCTTTTTTTTTTTTTGGTACCAGGGACTGAATACAAGGGTGATTTACCACAGAACCACATCCCCAGCCTTTTTTATTTCTTATTTTAAGAAAGGATCTCACTAAGTTGTTTAGGGTCTTGTTAATTTATTGAGGCTGACTTTGAACTAGTGATCCTCCTGCCTCAACCTCCTGAGTTGTTGGGATTACAGACATGTGCCACTGTGCTACTTCCTCTTCATTTTTAAGAAAGAAAATGAGGGGAATTGTAAGACTATAAATTAAAGGTCTGTATGGCCTGAGACAAAAATAGAAATTACAGAAACTCAGGAGGAACAATCATGTGGTAAGTTACTGATGCTAGATTAGAAACGCACCTTTGGAACAGAAGCTGGTTCAGGCTTGGGTGTTGCAGATGCTCTGGGGAAAAAAAGAAAAAAAAGCCATGAATTTTTGCAAACCTATAATTTCTTATTAGTGTATAGTTTATTATAATATATCGATTTATGGTATATCACCAGAATTTATATTTTCATAATTCCTAGTTTTGTCTATTCATAATTAAGTCAACACTGCAAGAACCAACGTCCTTACACACAAAGTACTCATTAGCAGTTCACTATAAATTCAAATGAGGAAAGATAAACATCAATCTTGTTTGCTAACACCCCTTTTTCAATCTTTAAATTGAGGCTATTCCCCCTCTTAAAGCATAAGGTAAAAACATGACACCTTAAACCTTGAGAGGTTTCTCAACCATCTAACTTGAATCTTAATCTTTAGCAGTATCTGCCTTTTCTTGTAATACCCATGAACATATCCACAGGGTGCTGGGTCTGTGAAGATGATTCAGGTTGAACTGAATCACTGAATGAGTATTTTGTATTTATATTCTTAAGTGTTTGTCAAATTAAAGTATTTACTATTCTAAGAAATAAATAGTAATTTCTTCCACTAGGCTATACTTTTAATAAAGGCAATGAGAATGCGCCATCTTTATAACTTCACACAGTGCCTGGCATGTAATAGGTCATCAGTAATGAGTGTTGAAGGCAGAGAGGAAAGACAGACAAAAATCCATGCATATAAATTGAATATTTACAAATTCCAAGTGAAACTTTATTTGTAACATGTTTTCTGGCACTATATACATTTTGGTTAGTGTAAACTAAACAGCAACAACTGGTTTGGAGGAATTATATAATCATGACAATAATGAAAGTAAAAAGTATTATTGTCCTCATTTTCAAATGAGAAAATTCAAGTTCATGTAAACTGCTTTGGAAGGCATGGAAGCCCTCTGTTTTTATACATTACTGTGTACTAGCTGTATTCAACTAACACAATGAGAAAACCAGGGATACTTTACTCAATGCTAAGGTGTGGGTTACACTTAATATGCCAGAAGCAATTACACTCTCTCATATCAGACAGTCTGAGGATAAGCCATAGGTGCATAACTTAAGAAATGTAAGCATAAGAGGTAAATACTATGTGATAATAATTTTATTCTACAAACCAAGAGATTGTTTTACTTAGAAAGACAATAGATCACAATTAAAAGACACTAGGACAGGATATGGGATCTCCATGAGCATAACCTAACAATGAACTCTGATCAACACATTCAGCAGCAACTGAATTTTCCAACAACTACTAATTTGGTTCGCTAGGGCAGGCACTGACTGAACAATTGGCTAACCTAATGGAAGGCTACAATGGATGCTAACATTCAGTTACAGCAATAGGTTCTACTCTGTGCAGTTGCACAACTTTCCATGGGTACTCAGACAATTTCTCTTAGCTGAAAGGGTTATTATAACAAGCAAAGGAAACAAGTTCAAGTACAGAACAGTGGAATCTTCCTTTCATTGAAATTTCACAATAAGATGTAATTGCAAAGGGTTTACTTATTAAAACCACCCAAAACATTACTGAAAGTTTGCCAAAGCATAGAAGCCAGTATTCTTTTTCATCTGAACACTTTAAAGTACATGGAGCACTTCTTGAAACATAAAAACAATTGGTGAAAAGAACATGATATTTAACAGTTGCTAGATCTTTAAACATGGGATAAAATACATATATTCTATGTCTACAAAAACAAATTTCTTTGTTTTTTTTTTTTAGAGCTGTTAGCTCTAATTTAAAGAGTATAAGCAATAACAATGCCCCAGAATGGTTCGTTTCATTACATTTGGGATCCAATAAATGTATTTTGTTCTGAACAAACAGAATGAGTCCTAACATAATTTACCATGTAAAGTTCTATAGAAATGCAGTTTGAAATTTTGAATTCACACAAAAAATTTAAATCTGCAATTTAAATATGGGCCCAATTTGTGTCCGGGTAAAAACGTCTTACAAGTGCAATGACGTGAATTAAGACAGGGAAAGAAAGGGTAACATGCCTTCAAAAACCTAGGACTGAACTCATTACACAAACACCCTTTTCGAGGAGGGGAAAAGAGACAGGCATGTAATTAAATGTCAAATAAAATTGTCAACACTAGATGTAATAAAAATTAGTTTTCTTGTTTTAAAAACTAACCACCAAATGAGTCATAGAATCATTAAATTCTGAAAAGATTCCTTACTATTTATTTATTTATTTATTTGGTCCTTGGGATTGAATCCAGGGCCTTGTGCATGCAAAGCAAGCACTCTATCAACTGAGCTATGTCCTCATCCCCAGGTTCCTTATTTTATTACATGCCAATCAGGGGGTTGTTACGATTTCTGTATGACTATTTATAGAAGTTTATGATTTCAGAAAAATTTTGAACTCTTCAGTTAAAATGGATGCTAACATTCAGTTACAGCAATAGGTTCTACCCTGTGCAGTTGCACAACTTTCCATGGGTACTCAGACAATTTCTCTTAGCAGAAATCTCTTAACTTAATCTCTTAACTGAAATACTCTTAACTTATCTTTACTCCAAAAAGTAAAGTAACACATTTTAGTGTGTTACTTTACTTTTTGGAGTAAAGATAAGTCATTCACATTAAAAACATGTACCAAAATCTGTATTGTAGTAGTTACATTTTAAAAGATCAGTAGGCTACAAAAATTTTAGACATGAGTATAATTAGACATTTTTTTAAAAAATACTTTTTCGTTGTAGATGGACAAAATGACCTTTGTTGTATTTATTTATTTTTATGTGGTGTTGAGGATCAAATCCCGTGCCTCACAAGTGCCAGGCAAGCACTGCACCACTGAGCCACAACCCCAGCCCCACAATTAACACATTTTTATGACACTAAAAGTATTGTAGTTCAGAAAATTTATAATCCATTACAAATGAAACTTATAAGACATAAAAAACAAAGATACTAGTTTTAAAAAGCAAAGGTTACTATTCATCAAAGAACAGAATAAAAAGATACACCACCTTTTCCTTACAATAGTATAAAGATTTTTTAAAAATATTAATATATAATACTTGTGAGAATACTTCTATGTTACTGGGAGATCTCACATCTTGTGACACAATAATCAACTTTATGCTATTTGTCATAAGGAAATAATCTGAAGTACAAAAAAGACTTTATGCATGAAGATATTTGTGTACTACTGCATAATTTATAATAGTAAAAAATTTGAAACAAACTATTAAATACACAAGAAAAAAGCTAATTGGAATATAACCATCAATGAAAGATGAACCAATTAAAATATTCTTAAGGAAGAATCTTTCATTGCATGATAAAATGTTTCCTTTATATGATACCAAGCATATATAGTAATGATAAATATATGGAAAAAAAGGGTGAAAACACAAAAATTTTAGAAGAGGGTCTCTCTAAGTGATATCTTATACAATGTACATGCACTACTTTTTGTAATTAGAAAACTATTTCTCAAAGCACATTTCATGGAAAACAGTTCCCCCAAAACAAAATACATACACAAACATGTTCTGTTATCAAAGATATCTGGAAAATATGGAGTTAAAGTTACACAATATCTTAGCTGCTAAACTTCTCAGAGACTCTAAATGCCTAAAAGAAGAGCAGACTATGGATTATTGCCCATACACTTTGAAGGAGAACTAATTATTTAAGAAACATTTCTCAAAATTGGAGTTGGGAGGGGTGGCCCTCTGGGAAACACTATTTTAAAGAAATATTTAACCAAGGAGCAAGTTTGTAAAGTCTGAAATGTTTACTTGAGTCCCACAGTGGCTAAATTTAAGGGAAAGAAATATTACAGTTCTTAAAATTCTCAAAAGTTTTTGTTATACAAATTATCTTTTTTAATGAAACTACTGCTTTCTTGAACTTTATGTTTAATAAGATACTCAAAGCCTATGAACATAATTTAACCAAAGTTTAAGGAAGAAAATTCTATTTCTTCATCAAACTGGAATATCTATTTTCAATAGTGCCCAGGGAGAAAGTCCTAACATAATAAGAAGAAAAAGCATTTTTCAAAATTAAATTAATCATAATTACCTGTTTTTTTTTTCCTTTAGACAAATATTGTCAAGAAAGTGTTCTTTTAGAAATGGCACCGGTTCCATGAAAAAGACTATTTTTCAAAGATATTTAAATAAATGAATGGTTAAAAACTTAGGAGTAATTATAAAAAATTATTCTTGCACTTTTCTTTTCATTCATAATGGGATAATATATCTCCCCTCTGAACCACAGTAATCATCACAAGTCACTTTCATGTAGTGTGTGAGTTTCAAACCACCGGAGAGCTGGCAATGGCTTAGTGCCACAGGCTCAACAATTTGCTTATTGTTCTCTCTCCCCTTGGTGTGAAGCCACCGTACAGGAGTAGGCCATGATGGTGAGATATGAGTGCCTTAGCTCAGTCCCACCCTTGGCTTGTGGAATTCAAAGAACAAAGCCATCAGTGTGGCTCAAACAATCTATTTGAAAGTTGATTGGTTCTTATAAAAACAGTATCCAAAATAAAAATCCCTGATTCATTATAACCAGTTTCAGAGCTTCTGAACAGTTGAAAGGAGTTCTGATTCATGACAGATTTATTAAAAATTAGAAATGTGATGTCCTAGTTAGAATAATAAGGGAAAAATTAATGAATTAGCAATGTCTCCATCATGAATTAGATTCAAAAGAATCAAGCAAAACTTCATCTTACAAACACCCAACAAATGATGCTATCCTTAAATTATGCTTTTAACCAATGTATATATTTTTTAAACTGCTTCACAAAATAACATGTTATTTAGTTAATAAAATAGCCATGAATGAATTTTCATATTAGTGTTTAATAATGAGGAATTAGGCAACAGACCAAACTGATAAAATTATTCACATTGCTCACTGTCTTGGCGACTCCTTCAATCACATCTAATATACTAAACTCATAAACAGTCATACAGTAAAGAGTAGGGTGTGTGGTTCATCTTCTATGAGATGAGTTCTATCAAAGTTTCCCACAG